TAGAAAAAAAGGACCAAAAAAATATAGTTAGTTGATACATAAGGAAATATAAATGACACACAAACATGTAGAAAAGCTACCAAGTCTCACTCTAATGAGATAAATACAAACTAAAACTCCAGTATGGTATTTTTTACCTAACACACTAGAAAAGGTTGTAAACAAATTGATAATACGTTACATTGTGAGAGGAAGTATGTACTCTCACACATTGCTGGTGAGAACAAGAACTGGTACCACTTCTAAAAGTAATTTGAAAACATCTATCAAAATATAATATATAACATGTTTCATTAAGCTCATTGGTGCATTTCAGGTACACATTATGATCACACGCATCGTTGGGAATTTGTACCTCTACAGGATGTATCTTGGTTCTTCTTTTTTCCCCGTTCCCCTCCCATCCCTTCCACCCCTCCACCTCTCCCTATTCATTTACGAAAAGAAAATTGTTTCCATTTTTTCCTTCTTTTCTCATATTTCTTGTTTCCCTTCTTTCCTTTCTCCTACCTCCATATAGTAATTATATAAATATAAGATATGGTGAATGCTTAAATGAAAATTTTATTATGGTAAAAGATGCATTGCCATTAATTCCTCCCAAAACACTCCCTCTCCCTTTGGACACACCCCATATTCTTGGAAATGTACCCTTTACTGTAATAAGGTTTTCTTTTCATTTAAACATTTACTGTATATTTCAACCACCCCCTATTGACTTACCTTACAATCCAGCAACCACACCTATTGTATTTACCTAAATAAGTTGAAAATATTTTCACAAAATAACCCTGCACGTACATATTTATAGCAGGTTTATCCATAATTGCCCCGAATTAGAAGCAACCAAGTTGCTGTCCCTTGATAGGTAAGTGGATAAACAAATTACAGTACATTCATATAATGGAGAAAACAAGAGAAATGAGAGAAAGGAATGAGCTACCAAGCAATGAAAAAAATGAAGAAACTTGTTTAATTAATTTTATTAATGCATATCAATTTTAGAAAATATTTGCATTTCAATATGGTTTCTTGTATACTGCATATAACGTTTCTTATCATATCTACCTCAACTTCAGTGTATATTGCTAAGTAAAAGAAGTCAATCTGAGAATTTTACATACTGTACAGTTCCAACTATATGACATTTTAGAAAAGGCAAAACTATAGAGATAGTAAAAAGATCTGTAGTTGCCAGGGATTAGTAGCAATGGATGGAGAATAGAGAATTTTAAAGACAGTGAAATTATTCTGTATGATCCTATACTGGTGGTATGTACCATTACACCTTTGTCAAAACCCACAGAATGTTTAACACCAAAAGAGAATCATAATGTAAACTATGACCTTTAGTTGATAATGAGACATCAGTGTAGGATTATGGACTGTAACAAATGTTCCACTCTGGTGTGGGTGTGTTTGGATCAAGGAGCATATGGGAACTCTCTGTACTTTTCACTCCATTTTTCTATGAACCTAAAACAATTCTTTTTTAAAAAAATTTTGGGGTGGTGGTGGGGGTTTGAGACAGGGTCTCACTGTGTAGCTCAGGCTGGTCTTGAATTCACGGCAATTCTCCTGCCTCAGCAGAAGTGCTGGGGTTACAGGTGTCACCATCACACACACACTAAAAAGTTCATTTTTTAAAAAATTATACTTGTAGGCACAGACCTACCAATTGACTTCCAAGAATTTATGTTATACATAGGCTTACATGAAGATAAAATGGCCTACATTTACATTTTTATATTGCAGCACTATTTGTAAATGAAAAAGATTAGAAACTATGTAAATATGTACCAGTAAACACTGGTTAAATATATCACGCTATAGCCATTTAATAGAATAATACTACATAGCTATTTTCAAAAAGAAAGTTGTTGCGCATTGATATGAAATGATCTCAAGGATATTTTGTTAGGTCCAAAAAGCACAGTATACTGAACAACTTATAGTACATTAATATTAATGCAAAATATCAGGAGATGGAGAAAGAATATAGGTACTTATATATACATTTTTTAAATCTTTTTAGGGGACTCATTAAATTGATCACTTTCCAGGAGAAAATTTTGATAATTCTGAGGCTTTTTTCTATTGATGCATGTTTATTATTTTGTGTGTCCTATGAATGCATTAGTTACCAGACAGTTGTTAGAAGAAACAAAGGAAAAGAATAGAAGCGAAGGAGAATGAACACTACCTTCGAATCACTGAATATCCAAGCAGAAGGGAACCTGAGCAATCTTCTAACTTTATCCATAATACATTCATGGAGTTAACAACTATATATTGAGTACCTCATCTATGTCTGTCATTTCCAAAGGCTAGGTGGCAAGATGCAAAGACATGAACAAAGAGTCTAATGAGAAAAGACCTTAAGTTTATCTGTAAGAGAGGAGACCAACAGCTTCAAGACTAGGCCTTGGCAGTTACCCAGAGAGTTGGTAGGAAAGCTAGGAATCTGTGAATCCAGATTCACAGGCTCCTATTTGGTTTTATTGTCTACCTTGTGCTTAAAGCTCAGCAAAAGAAATGGAGTTAATCATACAATTGTACAAGGGTAACCATAACTGAAGCACAAAATTGGCTCTTTTGAGAGAGCTTTCCTCTCCTCCGCGTACTTTCTCTTTTTTTTAATTGTTTTTTAATTTTTAGTAGTACATGTTTGTACTACATAGTGATTACATTCATTGAGAGGAGTTGGTAAATTTATGTAACACATCTTAATTTTTTACTTCCTCTTCCCCGCGCCTCTCCATGGACTTTCCAATAGTCACAGTCACTAATGGCTGTAGAAATATCTACCATTAGCACTTAACACTACTTTGATCTTCCACCCCATAGAAACTATTACTCAGAAGCCACATATGGTGTTGCATACCAGTAATCCCAGCACTCTGGGAAGCTGAGAGAGAAGGATTACAAGTTTGAGCCCTGCCTTAGTTGAGTGATTTAGTGACAACCTATCTGTAAATAAATAAATAAACAGACTGAGGATGTAGCTAAGCATAAAGGCGTAGTTCATTATAAATAAGCATGGTGAATGCACACATCTTTCCAAATAATGGCTCATCAGTCCCAATAGAGACGTCCAAAGTGACAAGACAAAGCAATAAAGCAGAGTCTGGGTTAAAGAATTGTCACCTATCTGAGCAGAGAGGAAGTAATGAAATCAACTGTCCAGTGTCCCTGATCACAGATTCTCGAGTCTTATACAATCTCTTCAGTGGGGTTTTTCCCCCATGGTATGAAGTCCTGCCAAGAAGCATGAAGAGGAGAGTATCATTCTCATTACCTTCAGGGAAAAAGATGCGATAATCACCAAGATGAGAGTTAACCTAATGTTTTAAATTAACATTAAGAAAAGTATATAATACACAGAAATTAGAACCATATATACACACACACACACGTATTCAAACATCCTCATAAATACAGAGGCATATACACAAATATTGACCCTAAAACACAGAATCAAAGTCTGGCTTCACTTAGAGAGTGTGATCCACCATGATAATTCAAAATGAAAAGTCCTAAAATCTCTGTTTGACTTAGGAGTGATTCTATTATTGGAGAAGAGCTCGCTGATTGGCTTCCCATCTTCAGTTTGGCTCTGGTGCATATGTGTGACAAGGAACTTCTCCTTGCTGATACAGAAATGTTGAAGAAAAAGATGGGGCTGTGCTTGAAAAGGACAGAGAGGTCAAACCAAGATGTTTAATATGACTTAGGCCATGGATCCGAAAACAAGATCTGGCTGGGGATTTAGCTCAGTGGGGCCACTGACTGCCTTGCAAGCTCAAGGTCCCAAGTTCAATCCTCAGTACAAAGAAAACAAACAAACAAAACAAGATCTCATTTTTCATGGAAGTCTGTTGCAAGACACTGCCACTATGCTCTCTGGTCTCTAGCTATTCCAGATCCCAGTTTAAACCTCTTACTTTGAATCATCCTGAGTCACTCGCTGCTTGCTTCCTGCTCCTGCTCCTTGAGAAAACCCCTGGGAGAGTTGACTTCAGTGCAAAGTATACTCCAAAGTCATCATTCCATGTGAAAGAGCTCTGATTTCTTCGGGGCAAAGGCCTCTTTAAACTACAAGTGTTATTAACACTGTGACTGCTCCCACTTAACCTTGATATGGGAGGGCTACTTGTGCCTCCTTGGATAAGGGAGCTGCTGGTAAGTGGCCTTGAGAGCTAGTTTTTTCAATGCTTGGATAAGGTGTGTGTCAAGTTTTGGATTCTACAACCTCTAAGAATAACAGACTTTTCACACTGAAAATGATTAAGAACATTCAACCCACCACTTCATTCTACAGTAAGGACATTGAGATGTAAAGAGCAAGACTACAAAAGAAATGGAAACATAGATCTACAAAGACTTATTCATAATGCTCACAGCAGTTGTATTCATAACAGCCAGAAACTAAATACAACCCAAATGTACCTTAACAGATAAATAGATAAACAAATTTCAGTTTTATTTCTGAATAGAATACTACTCATCAATAAAAGAGAACGAACTACTGATACATACAAAATGCATGAGTGTTATAGACATTGAAATGAGAAAAGAAGGGCCAGGGATTTAGCTCAGTTGTGTCACTGCCTGCCTTGCAAGCACAAGGACCCAAGTTCAATCCCTGGTACCAAAAAAAGAGAAATGAGAAAAGAAAACAAACATAAAATGTAGTATTACAAGGAAAAACTGTTCTGTGAAGATGAAAAATGGAAAGTTATTTGGGGTAGGAGAGGTATTATTGTCTGAAACAGGGTACATGAGAGCTTTCTGAAGTGCTGGTAATCTTCTGTCCCTTGATTGAGGTGGCAGTTACATGGTTAAGTATTTGTCAAAATTCTAGTGCACACTTAAAATCTGTAGGGTTTTTTTATTGTGTGTAAACTACACCTTAATAAAGTTGATTTATTTAAAAAAAAAAAAGAAGATAGGCCCTTATATTTGCACTGGTCTTTTTCGTTAGCAAAGTGCTTTCTCACCTTTCATCTGTTAGGAGAAGGAAAACATCGCCCCTCGTCATTGTAGTTTTTATGTAGGTTCTTCAACTGGGTCTAGGAGCTAAATTAAGACAAGACAGATTATCAACAGAAAAGCATAGGTGCTTTGTTAATTTCACATGTGCACAGGGACATCCTCATACAGGAGTGGCCAGCCAAAGAAATGGCCAAAGCAAGATACCTTTATAGTTTTTAGACAAAGAATGATAAATTTATGAAGAAGTTAAAAGACAAAGGGACCTCTGGGCTGGGAGCAGTAAATTCTAGGGGAGTCACCAGTAGATACATGGGGAGGGGGGTAAACATTCTGAAACATAAGGATTACGTTAGTGAGTTTATTTACTCAGGTCACCGCAGTACCACTTCCCAGCCTCCAATGGAAAAGACTATACCTATACTACTTTCAAACTGGTAAGGGGAGCCAGGCATGGTGGCACACGCCTGTAATCCCAGCACTCAGGAGGCGGAGGCAGGAGGATCGCTGTGAGTTTGAGACCAGCCTGGGCTATATAGTGAGTTCCAGGTCAGTCTCAACTACATAGTGAGAACCTGTCTCAAAAAAACAAAAAAACAAAACAAACTGGTAAGGGGACAGCAGCCATCCTACAGGAATCTTTATGGCCTGTTAAATACAGGAAAATGTAGAGCACACAACCTTTTCTTCAACTAGAGTTCTTCTAATGTTTCTTGCTTAAAATAATGGGCATAATCAGTGGGCGTACTTTGAGTTTGCACACTCTTAACCTCCTCACGCCTCACAACCCCCTCACCAGGCCCTGTGAAGTTGGTGAAGCCGAGCAGGAGAGAACATCTCCATCTTTTTTTTGGGGGGTGGGGGTGAGACAGGGTCTCACTATGTAGTTGAGATTGACCTAGAATTCACTGTGTAGCCCAAGCTGATCTTGAACTCACAGCGATCCTCCTGCCTCAGCCTCCCAAGTGCTGGGATTACAGGCGTGCGCCACCACACCCGGCAGAATGTCTCCATCTTGCAGGAGAGAAAACCGAAGCTGACAGGCAGCACCCTCAGCCACCTGGAGCAGGTACTGGGAATGTCTCCACAGCAATAAGACCTGGAGGGCACGAAGTCCACCCTTTCTTTCTCAAACCACTGTAACTTAGAGGGGCAGGGACCTGTGGATCCCACCATGAATTAGTGGCAAGATTGGGACTAGGGCCCTGGACCTTGGGCTCCCTCTGCACACATGGCTGCTTAACCTCTTCACTGTGCCTTAGAACTTCCCCACTCTTCTCTTACTCCAGGGCCCTCGCTCTGCTCCGGGATGCCCTCAGATCCCTTTAGTGGCTCCAAAACTGTTTTTCTGAAGCCTACACAAAAATCCCAATTCTGTGGCAGCTGCAGTTATGCCTATTAAGGAAGCTGACCAGGTAACATTAGGAAAAAGTGAATTGTTCAGTTTCCCCATACCTTTTAGAACCATTGAATAACAAGACATTGATGACTCTCAAATAATAGAGTCACATGATATCAGGCCCTCATCTGTGAGAATCCCCGCCTATATTTTGCTCCAGTTAAAACTTTAAACCCTGCTACTTTTTGCCCTCGGAACCTGGCCCCCTGACCATGACTGCCTCGGGGTCACTGCCGAATTGTTCTCCAGTCATCCAGATCTGCAGAAAGACCCACTGCCTGAGGCTGATTTCGTCCTGCTCACGGATGGGAGCAGCTTCATGGAAAAGGGCACACTATGCTGGCCACGCAGAGATGACTCAAGATGAAGTGGTCCAAGCAGGACCCCTCCCCACTGGATTGGTCAGCTCAATGAGCGGAGCTATGGGCACTCATACAGGCTCTCCAATGGGCAAAAGAAAAGAGGATAAATGTTTACACAGATTCCTGTTTGCCACTTGGTATATCTATGGCACAGTCTACACAAGTGTGGTCTTCTCATAGCAGAGGGAAAACTTAGTAAAAATAAACAGGATATAATATAGTTATTTGAGTCAATGTGGAAATCTCACAAAGTAGCTATAATTTGAAGAAAGAAGAGATGTAATACCAAATGGCCATGCTAAGGTAGACAGATAAGCCAAAAGGGCCACTAAACAGAAACTTAAGATGATTATACCCACCCCCTGTACAGGTAGTAAATATGTGTTAGTATGGGTTTGTACTTTTCTCGATGGCCTGAGGCCTTCCCTATAACAACAAAGAGGGCTTCAGAGATATGCAATATTTTACTAAAAAAAATTCCAAGGTTTGGTCTGTCTCTCTCCATAGGCAGTGACAATGGGCCAGCATTTATAACAGGTTGTACAAGATCTAGCTAAACTGTTATACTACTTATTGACCTCAGAGTTCTTGTAAGGTTAAAAAAAAAATGAATTGTAAGGTAAATATTGTCAGATATCACTGGATTATGAGTTGATCCGGCTCCCTTTGGCCTTCTTTAAAAATATGATACCCCAAGTCATACTGGGTTCTCCCCATATGAGGTGTTGTTTGGAAGGCCCTCCTGTATCTTGAGAGACTTTATAAAATCATCTCAACTGGGCTTATCCAGTATGGAATCACAGCTGTTAGAACTGGGCAAGTATTTCAAAATATTCAAGGGTGAATTAGAAATAAAGAGGACCTTCCTGCGCTAACTCTTGCCCATCTGATAAAACTGTGAGACCGAGTTTACTTTTAAAAAAAAAAAAAAAAAAAGACCCCTTTACGACCTATATGGAAAGGGCCATATGAGGCACTAATGGTTACTCCCACAGCTGTCAAGGTAGCTGAAGCTCAGCTACCACCACTGCAGAGTAAAACAGAATTGCACGGATTCCAACTCCAGGAGACAACAGCACTCAAAACCCTGCTCTCACCACATTGGAAGTCGGTGAGTCCACACAAGGCTGAAGAATGAGAACTGCAATCAAGATATGGACTCTTATATTATGTCAAACTGTTATGAGCTATTATGCTTTTGAATTAAGAGTTTATGAGCCTACAGATGATATAAATATGTGACCTTTATGTGCTCTGGGGATCCTAATCCCCAATTTATCTCTCTAAAAAGATGCCTTTATGAATTGCTATGACCCCTTAGCTAAAAATTTAATTAAAATGATGAATCAAGGATTTGACTCTACCTAAAACCAGTGGGGAATGTGGGAATGCATAACTTTGTAATCTTAAGTAAGTTCCTAGTCTCAACTCTGATTAATATCAATTAACAGGTGAACATTTAGTAGTTCTGGGTAAATAAAGATTATTTCACTCCTTGTCTGCCTGGAAGGAATGTTTTGAAAACCTTGGGACATTCTGTTACCATCCTGAGTATAGACCCCCACCCTGCCTATCCCCTTACAAAAAGGACCTCAGCCCCCGAGCTGGCACTTCCCGGAGCTACTTGGTTAGACTAATAAAGGTCTGTTTTCCAATAACAACAACAAAAAAAATCCCAATTCTGCATTCTTCCTCTCCCATATAAATTCTGGGCTCCTCGGATCTGCTCTCAGTTAGTTTTCAAGGACTCCAGGATTCTAATGACTTGGTTTCTTATGGAATCATTCCCAGCATTTTTCTACCCAAGGACATTTGCCACCACCAAAAGAACAAGTCCTGAGTAATTATATAAAAATTAAAATTTCATTTTTTTGTCAGATGTCTAGATTACTAATATCCAGTGTTGGCAAGGGTGAAAGAATATGGGCATCATACAGTGGTGTTTATATTTTTATGGTAATTTATCAGTATCTATTGATCTTTTAATATGTACTCTCTGAGTCAGCAATTCCAACTTCTAGATGTCTACCCTAAAGGACTATGCACACCAGTGGGCAAAAATATTCAACATCATTATTCATTACAGTGAAAAAATGAACAATTTAATTATCCACTAAGATTTGGAAGAGTATGGAATCTGAAAAGTAATAAATGAGAAAAAAAAATGTTTAAATAAATAAATAAATAAAAGTAATAAATGAGGAAGTTCGTTGTCCTAAAAACAGGAAACAAGAGATGGCTTTAGTACCCTGAAAATCATTTTTGAGCCCCCTCCCAAGGCCAGTTTGCAGAAACATCTACATGACCTGAATGTGGCTTGAATTTCTTCAGATTTCTGGCTCCTTTTTTGTTTTGTTTTATTTTGCTTGTGTGTATGTGTGTTTCTGTGTGTATGGGGGTTGGGGGAGTGAATCACAACCAGGACAAATCCAAAATGACAAAGGAAAGAGAAATTATTCAGAATAGCAGAGAGGATGAAGTTCAGGCCCCCAAACCAAACCTTCTCTCTCTTAGAACAAGGCAGTGATTTCTCTAGAATAATAAAAGAGCTAAAATTAGCTAACTGTTTGCTATCATTTACTAAGTGTTGAGTAAGTACTTGACAAACATTCCCCTTTAATTCTCACAACAGCTCTCTGACATAGGTGCTACCATCTTCAGTTTACAGATACAGAAAACAGAGAGATTAAGGAAACAGCACAATTCACATAGCTAAGGCAAGACTATAATTTAAACACATTGCTCTTTCATTTCAGTGCATATTAATTTTACTGGTTTTCACTGTGATATATTCATGCATATATATATATATAATA